CGGCAGAAGCAAGCCGTGCTCCTGGGCCAGTGGGTCGGGGAGGATGCCTTGGGGCTTCTGGACATATCTGCTGGGGCCGTGGATGCCAAGGCTGAGGTGACTGGCCAGACGCCTATACGCACATGCACGCAAGCCACTTGTGCCACGAGCAGCCACAGAGGCATCTCAATGGCTCCAAATCGCAACCGCTGCCACCTCTGCCACCACCATAGCTGCACTGCTCAAAAGTCTATTTCTCCTTCACGTTTGAAGGATATTTTCACCAGATATACTATTATAAAATGAGAGTTTTATTTTTATTTTATATTTTGTTTTTCTTTAGCACTTCTAACATATCATGCCCTCTTTCCTAGTCTGTAAGGTTTCTACTGAAATATCTACTGCCAGATATTTGGACATTCCACTGTATGTTGTTTCTTTTCTCTTGCTGCTTTTAGAATTTTTTCTTCATCCTAGACCTTTGGGAGTTGGATAATTAAATGCCTTGAGGTAGTCTTCTTTCAGTTAAATCTATTTGGTAATCTATAAACTTCTTATGATATCTTTTTTCTAGCTTTGGGAATTCTCTGTTATTATCTCTGAATAAACTTTCTACCCCTATCTCTTTCTTTCTCTATTTCTTATTTAAGGTCAATAACTCTTAGATTTGCCCCTTTGAGGATATTTTCTAGATTCTATACATGTGCTTCATTGATTTTACTCTTTTTTCTTTTGTTACCTCTAACTGTATTTTCAAAAAGTCTGTCTTCAAGCTCATTACTCTTTTTTCTGTTTGGTCAATTATGCTGTTGAGAGACTCTGATGCAGTCTTCAGTATGTCAACTGAATTTTTCAGCTCCAGAATTTCTGCTTAATTTTTAAAAATTATTTTAATCTCTTTGTTAAATATATATGAGAGAAATCTGAATTCCAACTCTGTGTTATCTTGAATTTTTCTATTAGTTTCCTCAACACAGTTATTTTGAATTATCTGTCTGAAAGATCATATATCTCTGTTTATTGGGATTAGCCCTTGGTAGCTTAATTAGTTCACTTGGTGAGGTCATGTTTTCCTGGGTAGTGTTAATGCTAGTATATTTTCTTTGGTGTTTGGATATTGAAGAGCTAAGGATTTATTGTAGTCTTCACTGTATAAGCTATTTTGTACTTTTCCTTCTTGGGAAGGCTTTTCAGATATTTGAAAGTATTTACATGTTGTGTTCTAATCCGTATCTGCTTTTGTGGGTAACTCCAGCCCAGTAACACAGTGGTTCTTGCAGACTTATAGAGGTACTGCCTTGATGGTCTTGGACAAAATTCAGAAAAATTCTTTAGATTACCAGGCGAATGCTTGCACTCTTCCCTTTCTTTCTCCCACACAGAGTCTCTTTCTGAACTCTGAGCAACCTATAGTAGAGGTGGAATGACATAAGCACCCCTGTGGTCACTACCACTTTGACTGTGCTGGGTCAGATCTGAATCCAGTACAGCACTAGGTCTTGCCCAAGGCCTGATGTAACCATTCCTTGGCTACTGCCTATGTTCACTACAGGTCTTGGGGCTCCTTAATCAGAGGGTGGCAAAGCAAGCCAGGCCAGGCCTGTATTTTTTCCTTCAGGGCAGTGAGGTCCCTCAGGTCCCAGATGAGTCCAGAGGTGCCATCCCAGTGTTAGAGACTGAAGTCAAAAACCTTACAAGTCTACCTCGTGTTCTCTTGTACTGCCACTCAGTTGGCACTCAAACCACATGACACAGTCATTATGTAATGTGAAGTCAGGTGCAGAAAGAGAAATATCACATATTTTCACTTATTTGTGGGATCTACAATTGAACTTGTGGAGATAGAGAGTAGAAGGATGATTACCAGAGGCCAAGAAGGGTAGTGGGGGGTTTTGGGCAAAATGGGGATAACTAATGGGTATAAAAATTAGAAAGAAAGAATGAGTGAGATCTAATATTTGATAGCAAAAAATGGTGACTATAGCAAATAATAATTTAATTGTACATTTTAAATTAACTTAAAAAGTATTATTGGATTGTTTTAACACAAAGGATAAATGCTTGAGGATATGGATGACCCATTTTCTATAATGTGATTGCTATGTGTTACATGTCTATACCAAAATGTCTCATGTACCCAATACACCAACCATGTACATATACACCAACCATGTACCCAAAAAATTAAAACAAAATAAAATTCCTCAAGAGAGCCATCTGTTCTCCCTGTCTCCATACCATGTATTGTCACTCTCCTGAACACACTTCAATCACTTTGATTTCAAGGCTCCACTGACATCTCTCTCACTAAGATCACTGATAATCTCCATATTGCCAAATCTTATATTCAATCTTCAAACTACATCTAGCTTGATCTCTCAGCAACATTTGTGACAATTGGTTATGCACTCATTCTGGAAATATCTACTTCACTTGGATTTCATGACAATAATTTCTTCTTATGTTCCTCCTACCTTACCACCTACTTGTTCTCATCTTTTTCATTAGATTATTTTACTTCCTGAACTATAAATGTTGGAATGTTCCAGAGCTGGTCCTTGGACTTATTCTCTTCTCTATCTATACTCATTCACTAAGTCATTGTACTGAGTCTCATAACTTTATTTACAATTTATAATCTGATGACTTCCAAACTTATATCTCCACCCTTGAAATACATATTGGTAAAACCAACTTTGTATTACACATTATTACTCACATATCTCAAACATAACAAACTCTTAATTCCCAGCCCTAATCCCACCAAACCTGGTTTTCCTCCAGTGTTTCCCTTCTTGGTAGATGGTGCCACCACTAACTTTGTTGCTTAGGATAAAATCCTTGAAACAACCATTGAATCTCTTTCTCTCACATCCAAAATGCAATCCATCACCAAATATTGTTACTTTTACCATTAAAATATGTCCAGAATCTCTGGAACAAGATGCTGTAGACTTACTTTACCATGCTACCACCCTCTAAATTCAACTAAAAACTCTGAAAATTACTGAACAGAAATAATGAAAGGACTCTGAAATATGGTAAGAAAGTATATGAATTAGCAACCTAAAGATTTGAGGAATAAAAGTGCTATGAGTTCCCTGAGTTTTCTTTTTACTTGCTAAATATCCCAAACAAGGCACTGGGGAGACCTGCAATACAGAACTGCCAACAGGCATAAACAACAACAATGACAACAACAAAAACAAAAACAAATGTAACCCTGCTTTCTCTGGCCTAAGTTCTGGTAAAAAGCCCAACAGGGACCTTAGTGGAGAGCCCCAACTCCTGTTCTACAACCAAGGTTCCTGAGGATAACCTGATTTGCACAGAGAGGCAGCTGCAAAGGTCCTGGAAGATCCAACTTCCACCCAAGACAAGAAAATCAGCATGTGAACTGATATGCTCACATAAGTAGCTTCCAAACCCTGATGTGCCATCTTAACTCCTGATCCACAGCTAGAACACTGATAGCTCATGGAAGTAGCAGAGAAGCTCCAGCAGTTCAACTCAAGCCTGGCTCAACACCTGTAGCACTTGCAGGCTGGTTTACTTGCAGTGGAAGCAGAGAAAGGCTGGTCCCACTGAATTTTCATTCCAAACCCAGGAGGACACCACCATTTCCTAGTCCTCTATTAACTGGCACAAGAAAACCCAGTCCCAGTGGCTTCTGCCTCAAACTCTGCAGGATAAGGTGACTCAAGGACACCAGGTGGCCCAGAAGAGTACTCTGTACCATGGCAGATGGCACTAATAGGGAATCAATGGGAGCCACAGCAGCATCAGAAGGACAAAACATATCATAATGGCATTAAAATGGCTCTGAAAACTAACTTGTCATTAGTTTAAACACCACAATAGTAGGCCAGAACCTATATTCTAAACCTAAAAAGGATCATTGCTTGCTAAAACAGAAGATTTAAACAGGATCAAGAGATTCCTAAATAGTAACCAAAATATCCATGATGAAATGGAAAATCACTCCTTATGCAAAGAACTAGGAAAATGACAATTTGACTGAGAAAATACAATTAACTGACACTAATACCAAGATTACACTAATGTTGGAGTCATCTAATAAAGGTGCTAAAACTGCTGTCATAAAAGCTGCTTCAACAAGTAGTTAAAAATATCTTTAAACAAATGCAAACAAAGATATAGGATTTATTTTTTAAAAAGAATCCAATGTAAATTATAGAATTAAAAAATACAACAGCCAAAATTAAATTAAAAACTCACCAGATGGATTCAATACTAGATTAGAGGTGAGAAACAACAGAATCAGTTAAGTTAAAGATATATGAACAAAACTTCCTCAATCCAAACAAAGAGAAAATAGTATTTGAAAAAAAAAAAAGAGAGAGAGAGAGAGCCTCAGGGATCTGTGGAACAATAAAGATAGAACAAATAAATGTTATACAGAATTCCAGCTGGAGATGAGAAAGAATGTGTGGCTGAAATAGTATTTGAATAATAACAAAAAACAGAGGCAAAAAGCCAGGCATGGTAGCTCATTCCTGTAATAACAGTGCTTTGGAAGACTGAGGTGGAAGGATTGTTTGCAGCCAGGAGTTCAAGACCAGCCTGGCTAACGTGGTGAGATCTGATCTCTACAACAATAAAACAAAAAGCCAGGTGTGGTGGCACATGCCTGTAGTCTTAGCTACAGGGTCACTTGAGCCCAGGAGTTCAGGGCTGCAATGATCTGATTGTACCAGTGAACTCCAGCAGCCTAGGTAAAAGAGCAAGACCCTGTCTTAAAAAAAAAAAAAAAGGAAGAAGAGAAGAAACAAAAGAAAACAAATAATAAATTAGAGACTGGTAATGTCAGCAAGATGGCAGAAAGAATAGAAAGAAACTCAGAGAACTTTCTTTCCCCAAGGGGCACCAATTCAACAAGCAGAAATACATAGATCAACTCTCTTAAAGAGAAATCCAGAAACTAGTTAAAAGGTTCCTGCATCACAGACAAGCTAAAAACCAACCACACTGAAGCTGGTAGGAAAATTCATGGTACTCACTTGCCATGGTCTCTCTGCCCAACTCAGCATAGCATGATCAGAAGAAAACTCCCAATTCTTGTCTTCTTCCTAGAGAGGAAAAGAAGAAGGTTAAAACATATGTCCAACATGAAGATTTTTTGGGGAGGAAAGCTGAGGAAATAATTTCTGTCTTTCCTGTATCTGGACACTCATGAAAAAGTGTGCTAGGTTTAAGGTTACTGAGAACAAGGGTGAAAGTTTAGACAAAAAGCACTCACTCACCATAATCCCTCCTCCCAGCTTGGCATAGAATCAGAGGGTGAAAACTCCCAAGTCTCAGCTTCTCTCTAGAAAGGGAAAAGGTTGTGGCCTGTGTCCCACATTCTGTCTTTTTGGGGGAACTGCTCGAGAAATAGGTTTGTGTCTCATCTGTCTCAGAAGGCTGACAGGGCTGTCATACTCTAGATGTCTGAGGAATGCTGAAAACAAAAGAGATGTGAGTGATTTGCTGCTATTCCACAGGACATGCAGTAGAGAAGATGGAGGTTAACATAGCTCAAAGGTTTCTCCATCTGGGAGGGGAGGCAGAAGAGTAAAGTGTGTGTTCAATGTTATAGCTTTTTGGGGTCTGACCAAGAAACTTGTTTTACTTTCAAACAGACTTTAATCTATTTTACTGGATTAAAATCACTGATATGGTTCAGTATACTCTAGAAGTTTTGGGGACACTAAGAACTAAAGGGAGATGTGAACTAGCAAATCTCTTTTAATTAAAAATTTGCATACACAAATCCAGAGAAGAAATATGCACAGAAAATATCTAAGAGGACCCCAGAATCTCTAATTAGGCTGATTTGTGAAGGGCTTTCCTTGTACAAAGTCAATCTATAAAGACTTGGAGAAATGGCCATTTTCTTAAATGCATGGATACAACACAAAGGTACAAAGCAAACAAAGAAACAAGGAAACATGGCACAAATCCAAAACAACAAAACAAGTCTCCAGGAACTGACCCTAAAGTAAAGGAGGTATATGAATTATCTGACAAATAATTCAAATATCCATCATAAAGATGCTCAACAAGCTCAGAAAAAAATATAATACATGAATAAAATGAAAACTACAAATCAACATAAAACATAAAAAGAGCCAAACAGAAAATTTTAAGCTAAATAATACAATAAGTAAACTGAAAATTTCACTAGACAGTTTCAACAGCACACTTAATCAACCAGAAGAAAGAAGAAGCAAATTTGAATCCAGGTAATTTGAAATTATTAGTCAGAGAAACAAAAAGAAGTAAGCCGGGCGCGGTGGCTCAAGCCTGTAATCCCAGCACTTTGGGAGGCCGAGGCGGGTGGATCACGAGGTCAAGAGATCGAGACCATCCTGGTCAACATGGTGAAACCCCGTCTCTACTAAAAATACAAAAAATTAGCTGGGCATGGTGGCGTGTGCCTGTAATCCCAGCTACTCAGGAGGCTGAGGCAGAAGAATTGCCTGAACCCAGGAGGCGGAGGTTGCGGTGAGCCGAGATCGCACCACTGCACTCCAGCCTGGGTAACAAGAGTGAAGCTCCATCTCAAAAAAAAAAAATAAAAAGGAGTGCAGAAAGTCTAAAAGGACTTAAGGGACAAAATTAAGTGGACCAATATATGCAATATGATATTAAAAGAAAGAGAGAAAAAGAGACAGAACATTTATTTAAAGAAATAAGGGCCTAAATATCCCAGAAATAATATGGACATCCAAACTCAAGAAGCCCAACAGAACCCAACTAAGAGGAACCCAAAGGAATTCAAACTGACTACATTATGACTAAATTGTCAAATGTCAAAGACAAAGGGAAATTTTTGAAAGAAGACGCGACTCATGATATACAAGAGAGTCCCATAAAACTATCAGTAGATTCATCAACAGAAATATTTCAGGGCAGAAAGGAATTATATGATAGATTTGAAGTAATAAAAAAAAAATGTTAGCCAACAATATATCCAGAAAAACTGTCTTTCTAAATAAAAAGGAAATAATTTCCCATATAAACAAAAGCAGTGAGAGTTCATCACCAATAGATGTGGTGAAAAATGCTAAAGTGAGTTCTTTGAAGTTGACATAAAAGTTGATATAAATAGAAAACAGCACAAAGACAAATAAAAGTATAACCTCTACTGCCAAAAGTAAACATATAGACAAAACAAAATGTTGTAATACTGGAGAAGCTGGGTAAGATGACTGACTAGATACAGCCAGGTGAACCAGCTGCCACTGAGGGACCAGGGCAACTGGTACACTCCTAACAGATCTTCAGAGGTATGGCATTAAGAGTGGACAGAGGGCGAGAGGATGCTGGGAAGATGGCCGCCTAAGAACAGCTCAGGACTTCAGCTCCCAGTGAAAGTGCAGAGGGTGAGTGAACGCCGCATTTACAGACGAACTCTTATTGCCCACAGACCAGGAGATACCCAGGCAGAGGGGTCGCCAGTGTCGCAGTCCCAGCCGGTGTGGCTGTTTTGGCCCCTGTGGGGCTGATTCCGCCCGCGCGGCTGCTGTGACCACTCCCTGTTGCTGCGGTTCTCCGTACAAAAACCACTGGTCTGGGAGCCCTCTTAGCTGGCGAGCAGAGCCCTGAGACGGCAGAGTGGGCCATTCATCTGAAAGAGCGAGTCAGGCCAGGAGATTCCTAGGCAAAAAATCCGCCAGGAGCCGGCGCCGCAGTTCGAGCCGACTCCGTGAGTCGCAGCACGGGAGATCCCGGCGCCTTTTCAACAAGCGACCGGAACTCGGGGTCGTTAAACTTAAAAGAAAAGACTCTGAGTCAGGGAGCCAGGTGATCAGGCTCGGTTGGTCCCAGCCTTCCACCCCCAACAACAACGAAAACAAAAACAGTAATTGGAAACCCTCTGGGTTGAGCCCTTCAAACCAAGCACAGCTGAACCTGGACGGCCCGGCTCGGTGGGGGAGGGGCTTCCGCCATTACTGAGACTCTCCACCGCTACGGAGGCAGGCCCCCGTTGCCAAGGCAACCCGCCTTCGCCGAGGCAACCTCCCACAACAGAGAGAGTCCGCCATAACAGAGGCGGGGCCACCGTTGCCGAGACAGTTCTAACTACGCCCATATAAAAAGGACTACAGGGAAGAGCTCAGGGCAGCTGGGCGGAGCCCACAGCAGCTCAGCAAAGCCCCTGCAGGCAGGCAGTGGCTAGGTGTGCTGCTAGCTGGGAGGGTCAGACCTGAAAGAAAAAGCAAAAAAGGCAGTAGTGCAAGGGAAACTCATAAAGCTCCAACTCCCTGGGACAGAGACAGACAACAGGTGGATAAACCCACAAAAATGGGAAGAAACCAGCGTAAAAAGGATGAAAACTCCTGAAACCAGAACACCTCTCCTCCTAAAAGGGATCACAACTCCTCACCAGCAAGGGAACCAGACTGGATGGAGAAGGAGCGTGATGAAATGACAGAATCAGACTTCAGAAGGTGGGTAGTAAGAAACTACAGCGAGCTAAAAGAACATGTTCTAACCGCACACAAAGATAATAGGAACCTTGAAAAAAGATTGGACGAACTGCTGACGAGAATGGACAGCATAGAGAGGAGTATAAGTGAATTGATGGAGCTGAAAAACGCAACGCGAGAACTTCGTGAAGCATGCACAAGTTTCAACAGCCGAATTGACCAAGCAGAAGAAAGGATATCAGAGGTCGAAGATTAACTCAATGAAATAAAAAGAGAAGGCAAGAACAGAGAAAAAAGCTCAAAAAGGAATGAACAAAATCTTCAAGAAATGTGGGACTATGTGAAAAGACCTAATCTACGTCTGATAGGTGTACCTGAATGTGATGAAGAGAATGAATCCAAGCTGGAAAATACTCTTCAGGATATTATCCGGGAAAACTTCCCCAACCTAGCAAGGCAGACCAATATTCAAATCCAGGAAATACAGAGAACACCACAAAGATATTCCGCAAGAAGAGCAACCCCAAGGCACATAATCGTCAGATTCACCAAGGTTGAAATGAAAGAGAAAATGCTAAGGGCAGCCAGAGAGAAAGGTCGGGTTACCCACAAAGGGAAGCCCATTAGACTCACAGCAGATCTCTCAGCAGAAACCCTACAAGCCAGAAGAGATTGGGGGCCAATATTCAACATCCTTAAAGAAAAGAACTTTCAACCCAGAATCTCCTATCCAGCCAAACTAAGTTTCATAAGCGAAGGAAAAATAAAATCCTTTGTGAACAAGCAAGCGCTCAGAGATTTCATCACCACGAAACCTGCTCTACAAGAACTCCAGAAAGAGGCTCTACACTTATAAAGGAACAACCAGTACCAGGCACTCCAAAAACACACCAAATGGTAAAAGAGCATCAACACAATCAAGAATCTGCATCAACTAACCAACAAAACAGCCAGGTAGCATCAAAATGACAGTATCAAAATCACACATAACAATACTATCCCTAAATGTCAATGGACTAAATGCCCCAATCAAAAGACACAGACTGGCAAACTGGATAAAAAGCCAAAACCCATCAGTGTGCTGTATCCAGGAAACCCATCTTACATGCAAGGATACACAAAGGCTCAAAATAAAGGGATGGAGGAAGATCTACCAAGCAAATGGAGAGCAAAAAACGGCAGGAGTTGCAATTCTCATCTCTGATAAAATAGACTTTAAAGCAACAAAGATCAAAAGAGACAAAGAAGGACATTACATAATGGTAAAAGGATCACTGCAACAAGAAGAGCTAACGATCCTAAATATATACGCACCCAATACAGGAGCACCCAGATACATAAGGCAAGTTCTTAATGACCTACAAAGAGACTTAGACTCCCACACAATAATAGTGGGAGACTTTAACACCCCACTGTCAATATTAGACAGATCATCCAGACAGAAAATCAACAAGGATATCCAGGACCTGAACTAAGACCTGGAACAAGCAAACCTAATAGACATTTACAGAACTCTCCACCCCAAATCCACAGAATATACATTCTTCTCAGCACCACATCACACCTACTCTAAAATTGACCACATAATTGGCAGTAAATCACTCCTCAGCAAATGCAAAAGAACGGAAATCATAACAAACAGTCTCTCAGACCAC